TTTGAAGATAGTTTGCCACATGAGGCATAATCCTGTATGAGGATGCATTGTACAAGAGCGAACACTTTTTGTAAAGTAATAGGTAAACCAATATCATCAGTTGAGTCAGAGATCTCATTACTTGTGTTATTTTAGATGCTTGATCCAGGAGTTGAATCATGATAGTGCATAGTTGACTCAAGTACTTTATCTTTATTTTTACTTTTGTTCTTCCTGGTATAGACACACAACATACTTATTGCTAGTAATGTACTATCAGTCTCTGTGATGGGTTTAGGCTCAGGTTCTTTGGTAGTTTGAGAGACGAATTCTTTTTCTAATGTTGTTAATGGAACATGTAATGAATGCATGTTCACATTTCACAATTGATATTTTTGAATATCAGATGTCTTCCCCTGAATATCGAGAGTGGGATAAAAATGTTTGTTCTTGAAAAAGGTGACATCGATAGTGTTATAGAATTGATGGGTGACTGGACAAAAACATTTGTAAACTTTCTGAGAGGAGGAATACCCTACAAAAATATACTTAAGGACTCTAGGATTTAGTTTCCCTTTGAGATAGGTGTGAATGTGAACATAGGCAGAGCAGCCAAAGACTTTAAAAGAAATTGTGTGAAGAATATGAGACTCTGAGAATGCTTGAACTTGACTCAAGTACTTTATCTTTATTTTTACTTTTGTTCTTCCTGGTATAGACACACAACATACTTATTGCTAGTAATGTACTATCAGTCTCTGTGATGGGTTTAGGCTCAGGTTCTTTGGTAGTTTGAGAGACGAATTCTTTTTCTAATGTTGTTAATGGAACATGTAATGAATGTATGTTCACATTTCACAATTGATATTTTTGAATATCAGATGTCTTCCCCTGAATATCGAGAGAGGGATAAAAATGTTTGTTCTTGAAAAAGGTGACATCGATAGTGTTATAGAATTGATGGGTGACTGGATAAAAACATTTGTAAACTTTCTGAGAGGAGGAATACCCTACAAAAATATACTTAAGGACTCTAGGATTTAGTTTCCCTTTGAGATAGGTGTGAATGTGAACATAGGCAGAGCAGCCAAAGACTTTAAAAGAAATTGTGTGAAGAATATGAGACTTTGGGGATGCTTGAACAAGGGAGTTATAAGGTGTTTTGAATTTAAGAATACGGGAGGGCATCCTATTGATCAGGTATGCGGCAGTGAAAATAGTTTATCCCCAAAGAAATTTAGTAACATTTGTGGTAAACATGAGTGAGCTAGACACTTCAAGAATATATTTATTTTTTCTTTTTGCTACACCATTTTGTTGAGGGGTGTAAGCACAAGAACTCTGATACCATGAAGAAGATTGAGAGTTTGGGACAGAGGAGAATCCTCTGTTATTATTATTGGGCACAAAGGTGCCAATTTATAGGCATTCGGCCAGAACAAACAAACGAGATTATGGAAAATATTCTAACAGGTTAACGGGTTGCAATGGTAGTGAGCATTTTCTAGCAGTCATAACAATCTAGTAAAATACTAATTTACCCCCTAGTGTATTTACATTTCTACAAAAATGAATGCCAGTAAGAGTTTTGCTGTTTTTAGCAGCTAACTTTTGTTGATATTTGGAGTTAAATGTAAGGAACTTTTGTTGATATATGGATAATCCTTCTTGCTTCAAGGGAAACTAAGAGAAAATAAAGTGTGCAAATTGAAAAAATTGCTATATAGTTTAAAGCAATTACCAAGAGCCTGGTTTGGAAGATTTGTCAAAATAACGCGTAAAACCAAATACAAAAATATCTAGTGAGATTATATACTCCTTATAAAGCACTTGGATTCAGAGGAAGTCTCTTGGTATGTTTTAATATAATTGTGACAGGGAATGAAGAGAGAGAAGAAAACATTGGGGAGATGTCTAGTTGGATAATTAGAGACAAAAGAACTTAAGAGAGTGAAATGAAACTAGGAATTGAAGTAGCTTATTTGAGGGAAGACATCTTTATTCATAGCAGAAGTACATGACCAATTTCCTAAGAAAACAGAGAAGTT